TTGATGGAATTACCAACACTGTTGTTGTAGTAAGATGCGTCTTCATTCTTGAAAGTCCTTCACACATTTTGCAATTCATTCAAATTTAACATATATTCTTATCAACTTGGACAATGTCATAACAATTTGTGAGAATTCTTTAATAAATCTCTTGTAATATTCGGCCAATCCCAATAAGTTGTGAACTTTTATAACATTCTTTGGTGTAGGTCATTCCAGAATTGCTTTCACCTTCTGAGGATCCACTGAAATTCCTTAAACACTTATAATATGCCCCAAAAATATATAATGTTCTGGATGAAGAGTTCATATTTTGAAAATTTTGCATACAATTGGTTTTTCTCAATGTTTTCAAAATTATCTTTAAATGTTCAACATGATCATTATTTGTCTTTGAATATATCAAAATGCCATCAATGAAAATAATTACAAATTAATTCATATAATCCTTAAAAACCCAATTTATCATATCCATGAAAATAGCAGAAGCATCAAATCAAAAGACATTACTATAAATTCAAAATGGCCATATTTAGTCGCAAAAGCTATCTTACTTATATCTGCTTGTTTAACCCTAACTTGATGATATCCTTATATTAAATTAATTCTAGAAAATACAATAGCACTTGCTAATTGATCAAACAAATCATTTATACATAGTAGTGGATATTTGTTCTTGATGGTTATTTTGTTCAATTCTCTATAGTCGGCATACGTTCTCATGAATCCATCTTTCTTTTTAACAAATAGCACCAACGCACTCTATGGTGAATATCTTGGCCTGATGAATCCCTTATTCATCAATTCCTACAATTTAGATTTCAACTCTTGCAACTCTTTTGGAGTCATTCTATAAAGAAATTTATATATTGTTGATATTCCTAGTTGCAATTTATCTTACATTCAACTTTTATTTTAGGTAGTAAATTGGGTAGTTCTTCAGAAATTCATTTAAAAACTTTGATACAACTAGAACATTTTTTAAGGCCCACACATCCTTATTTAACACCTATTTTAGCCTAGAACGCTAATTCAACACTTCTTAAATATTTACACATTTTTATTGCACTAACAAGAGATGACAACATTATTATCACAAGAAAAGTAGAAGGCCTTCTTATTAGACAAACTAAATTTTATCTTTTCCTTCAAACAATCAATGGTGACAAAAATGTTTAACTAGCCAGTCAATTTCCAATAAATCTTATTGGCATATAGGCTATATCTCATTGGCATCGTAACACATAAGGCAGACTTAAAACATATAATCTCAATAGATCAATTAGAACATAATTCTTTAGAAATAAATGACTGAGATGCACCAGAATCAAGTAAAAATCTGCTAAATTTATTGGAAATCAGAAGTATACCTATGACTACTTTTTATGAGCATTGAAGGTTCGTTTTCTTCATTCTTCATTTTCTTCATTGTAGGTTCGATACCGGAACTCGGTACCGCTCGGTACTGCTTGTTACTCGGTACTGCTCGGTACTGGAACTCAGTACCGAAATTTGGTATTGCTCGGTACTGATCAGTACAGAGGGGCAGCGCCCCCTTAGACCCCCGGCATAGGCGCAACATATCTACACTTTTAATTAAAAATTTTCATGTTTCAAATTCATGTTGATTAACTTGTGTCGATTTTTCGTAGGATAATGAGCTCTAGTGTTGTAGGAATTGGGTCTACTGATGGTCCATCATAGACCAATATTGAAGATAGCAAACCTCTGTGGGGTTATGTGATAAAAATAGGTAAAACGCTAGAAGGGGGTGACAATATTGCATTCAAATATAATTTTTGTAATGCCACATACAAAGGATCATATTATAGAGTGAAAGCTCATTTATTGAAGATTAATGGTCATGAAATTAAAGTATGCCCGAATATAAGCTCATCACAAATGGCTGAATTGCAAAGAAAAATCAGTGAAGTTGAGCAAAGGAGTAAAAAAGAGCTTTCAAAATATATTCCACTTCCAAGCACTCATGCTTCATATCCTTCATCATCATCTTCAATTAGAAGTGATGATAATACTGTTAATAAGGGGCTTTTCGGATGGAGGGATTTGAACCAAAAAGAAGAAAACATGTTGTAGATAGTGCTTTGGAGAAAACATTTAATTTACAAATGAGAGAACAACTAGATGTGGAAATAGCTAGAATGTTTTACTCAGCTGGACTTCTTTTTAACCTAGCAAGAAATCCACATTACAAGAATGCATTTACCTATGCACTTGTTTGTAGAGCTGCAGGTCTACTTGTAGAGCAAGCCTATCCTCATATTTTCTGGACACCATGTGTTGTGCATACGCTTAATCTTGCCTTGAAGAACATTTGTGCCTATGCCGTGACACGTGTCCTCCAAATGACAATTTTGCTGCCAAATGACACTGTAGCATAAACGGTTATGACCGGATCCCTTTGAACCGGATTGTTTTCCGCCAAAATGCACCATCAAATTACGGTTATGGCTAGAGCCCATATGCTCCCCAATGGCATCAAATCATTGAGATATGAATCAATAAGATATAATTGATCAAAGCCCTATGTTAGCTAAGGTGAATTCAAATTTGTCTCCTTAGACAAACATCCACCTCATGTCTATAAGATTCCCTTGGACGACGCAACCCATGGCTGTCGACAAGGATCCTTCTGTCAGGTTGGGTCGACTACCTCCTATGATTAACTAGACCAGGGATCACGATGGCCCAGGACGACATAACCATGAGATCTTGATCGGGTCCATTATCACTACCCCACCATCCGCTTTAAGTGCAAGATGGTGAAATTTCAAATTTTAAATATTCTATCTCACAACCCCTGAGCCCATGCTGCTACTATATGCCAAATTACATGTATTTTCTACGTATTTGATTGACGACTAGCCTTAATCAAAAGTTCTCTCTTGTTACCGAGAGGGGTAATTAACTATAGGGGTTTGCGCCTATAGGAAACTAGAACTTAGATCATAAAGTCCTCGTAAAATGAAGGCGAAATCTCTGGGTAGTGTCTTATCTACAAACCCATATGCCTTCCTAAAATTTACCCCGGAAATTAATATGTTAAAACTCCCCCGAAAAAACAACGGGGGAGGCCGGGGCCGAATTTTTGGAGCCCACACAATTACAGTCAAAGAAGAGTACACTTCTTTTTTGAAACAACAGTTTATTGCAATTTTGTTTAAGATTTTCATCGGCGAACTGATATCCATGATTAGCATCTCTTATGCTTCTATGGAGAATTACAGTCAAACAGGAGTACACTTATTTAGTCATTATCATCATTTCTTGCTTTCTTAAAAAACATGGATGGATAAAATGTTATTTTCTTTGTGGCACAAGTTGTGGGTTTTTATGTTTAGAGAAGTTGTCATTACAAGTCCCAATCAAATACTTCTCAGTAAATTTTATTCTGCTGCTTATTATTGGAACCCTTTTCAGAATAATTCCATATTCACCTGTCATCTTAAATTTACTTTCTATTTCTTTGACATTGATAACATACTTAAATGTGCTATAGCGCCTTAGTGCCTTATGCCTTGTGCAATTCAAGTTTAAAATGGTGAGTACCTTAGAGTGTCTTTGTGTTACTATTGCTTGGCTATAGGCCTATGTTGCACCGATACACCTATTTATGAAGGCGTGCTGTATCCGATACATCGATACATGGATACGCCTCCGATACTCCACCGATACGTGTCGGATACGCCAAAGCCGTATCCAATTAAAATACTATTTAATTTCAAAAGGACACGCATATCCGATATGCGTGTCTGTTGAAAAACAAAAATAAATTCGAAAAAAAAAGATGTGCGTATTTACTTCCGCGGTTGCGAGCAAGATTCTCTCATTTCCGAGATGGATTGAGTCTCTTGATGATATGAAAATATTAAAAATTATTAATTTTTCACTTGATGAGCCTGAATTTGAATCTATGATATTTATTGAAGATGATATGGAAGTTCAAAGACAAACCAATGAAGAAGATAATTATATCATTCCCTCTATTGAATAGTTGAAACTTCATGTGCTAGATAATTTATGTTTATGCTTGTGTTGTTGTACTAGACATTTAATGCTTACTTATATTTTGATATTATAAGCTACAAGGCTACAAATGATGTTGTTGTCATTTTCTTTTGTAATTTCAAATATTATGTTTTGATTGCTTTCTTAATTTTTATGCATGATTTATAAATTATAATGCCGTGTTCGCACCGTACCCGTATCTTGTATTTTTAAGAATTGACGTGTCCCGTATCCGTATCGTGTCGTATCCGTGTCGCCGTATCCGTATCGGTGCAACATAGCCTATAGGCTCCCTACAAGAGCGACTAATTAATTTTTAACAATTTCACCAAAGCCATTAACCTTATTGTTGAATGGCTATAAGCTATATAGCATTTTACTTTGATTACCATCAACCTAATTTATTTATCTTTGTTTTTTTTTAACGTTCTATATGCTTATTATTGCTTGGCCTGACATAGTTGGTATGAGGATGAGCTACTCTTCCATGAATTAATCTTGTTATTTTCATGTTATGCGTGCTGCATTTTGTTTTGAACATGTTGTAGATTTTTATGTTTTGCACTATAAGAGGATATCTTGTTATTGTTTAATTACAATATTTCCTTCCGAAAATAGGTGCCTTACTTTTGAAAAGGCTAGTGCCTTGCATTTCTCCATTCAACTGAGGCAATTTTAATTCTTAGCAGCGTTGTAGCACTTTTCGCTTTGATAAGTATGACGCATAGTTCTTTTTTCTCTAATGCACTTAATTGGAAGGTCTTTTTCAGAAGATTTTTTATACCTAGAATGCTGTAAGTATCCTTTTTTATTAGTAAAACTCATGGTTCTTACATAATCTAAATACAAAGTTCAATGCTATATTTCATATATCTGTGTTGATGCGTTTTAACGTAGCAGATTTCCTTGATTGCTGAAACTTCTTCATGCTCCTACACTACCTTGTTATGAGTTTTTTTTTTTCATTGCAGCCTCCAATTGCCAATGCCTTGGGCGGTGTACCAAATTTTTGCAGCCCAATGGCAACTACCATGGAGCGAGGTGACAGAGTTCCTACTGCTGCCTCAGCAAGCAGTCTGGTAACTTTTTTCCTTGCAGTGTTTTCAGAAAAATGTATCCAAACCTGGAAGATCTATAAAATCATATGAGATATGCAGGCTATCACTGATGGAAGGATGGCTGATGTGAAGCCTAGGATTGCTGATGATTCTGAAAAGATCAGAAGCTGGAAATTGGCTGATATTGTCGATCCTGCTCATCTTAAAGTCTTACCCCTGCCAGATTCTTCAACGAATAAAAACAAGGTCTTTGCCTTTTGAACTAAAGAAAAATTAATTTTACCTCTTCTAGTTGTTTGGTTAATATTTATATTATAAGTATGGTGTGGACAGAACAATATCTTAGTATGGTTTTTACTAGTGATTCTATTAATTAATCCCATTTGACTTTCTTATTTATTAAAGGTTTAGTAACATCCATATCCCTGAATTTTATTCAGATTACACAGAACACTTTTAAGTATTATGAATAGTAAATTCTTCTAAATATTTCGGACTTAACAAATACTGTGTTGTGACCATGTCATGACTTGACTGGCATAACCAGTCGTCAATGCATCTCAAAACTGAGTTGGATTTATCTCAAGTGACATTCTGATGCATCATTTGATGCATTTCATAGTCATTGTGGTTCATTAGAATTTATAGTAGCTCAAAGAGGGTCCCTTGACAGCTTGCACAAGTGACTGCGTGAATGATGCTAGTGGCAGTGGTGAATTTGGGAGTTGGATGAAGGTGCCGAACGAGAGATGCAGAATAGAACATGAATTCTTCTACTACCTTAGCAGCTTGGGATAGTGTGTGAGGCTGAGGTGGAGAGGGCACTATTTAAGGAGCTTATTGCTTGTGTCTGGTTCCATAGCTCATCCCTTAAACTCAAGGATTAGATCTATGACTTCTGGACCTTCAATTCTAATAGTTAGTTGGTAGAATTCTCATGTATGGCAAGGGACTAGTGACTGAATAAAAAATTTATGATTAAAACCAACTTTCTTCTCAAATAACTTCTGGTTTTTCCGGACAACCGTACTTTGCACTTCCTATTTCCTATTCTTGACCATAAGCACCACCAGCATGGCCATGTTGCATCCAATAAATAGAACTTCCATGGCTCTTGCAACTATCTAGACTATGGGTGGAATTTATTGTCACCTGGATGTGGAGAAACTGGTTGTCAATGAACTTTTGAGAGCTTAATGTCATTGATGAATTTCAAGGTCGATTGAAGAATTGCATTTGCATCCATGGTATGAGCTGGCAAGCTGCAATATTTATGCACTATTGTTGGCCCCGAGGAGGATGGTGCCAACTAGCATGCTTGTGGCTTGGAAGAGAGATTAGATGAAGTTGGAGCCGTTAATGAGTTTGTTTACTGTGGAGAAGGGAGAGGAGGATTTTCGTCTTGCCTTCCTGATGCATTTTCTATTGTTTATTCACATGCATTTAGAGGCATGGCAGCTTTTATAAATTAGAAAGATGACTCTGCCACACTAGCAACTAGTGATAATGATGGAGTTCATTTATCAGAGATATCCAAGGATTTTTCAAACGGTTCAAAAATATAGTGGCATTTATACAAGTCTTAAACATTATGGGTTGTATTGTTATGCTATATACAATTTGGCTATGGAGTGGTATGCTTGTAATTAGCACTTACTTAAACTGTCTGCTATCTACTGTTTATTAAAATTTATTTATTTTTTCCTATGTTGGTCGTGTATGCATAATGAATGTTATCATATACATTCAATAATGTTGCCAGCATGCAAAATGTTACAAAAAGCACAAAAAAGATTCCTACTTTGAATCGTGAAGCACAAATAAAGCATATACTTCAGTTCTCCACGACACACATCTATAAGATACCTTAAACATGTTACAATCAAATTATGAAGTTGTCATAACCTATCAAACTAAACTAATTGAAATCCAAAAAAAAAACTTATATAGTGTTTGAAAAATATAGAAACTGAAGCGGTGAGAGTGGAGGGATTGAGATTGTTAGAAAGTGAGTGAGGATAGAGAGAGATTTTAGGGAAGGAGAGGGCCATCGCTGTAGGAACAGTTCCACTGAACAACTCCTAAGATTTCAAATGAAAATAAGAATATATCTTGCAATAATCTCACTCCTCTCAACTCAAAGATACCTTAAATGGCAGCATGGTGAACAAGGAGACCTTTCTACCAGGTGCTGACATAACATTCTAGTCATTCTTGGACAGAGCAAAGCATAAATTTGATTCTTCAGGATTGCTGCAATTTATCTCATTTGTCATAGGTGATCAATTCGGCGGTTGCCACAACTGAGGCAATTTCATTAGATTCTACACGAGATGGAAATAACTGAGGCAATTTCATTAGATTCTACACGAGATGGAAATAGAACAAAAAAATGATATGAAGTCAAAGTTGAATCAAAATGGTGGGGATGAGAAGATAACTGGAAAAAAGGGTGTTTGATGGGCAACTGTACAATCCACTCGCTCTGCCGAGCAATGGCAACAACTGAGCTTGGTAGAGCTGAAATTGCTCCGGTATTTCCTGAGTCAAATTCATGTGGAGCAAGGTCTTTATCTATATTGCTCTGATGCTGAAATGCCACTTGTGCATTTAACAACATCACTCTTATACGATGTCATTATATCTTGCGGCTCTCTAAAACATATTTTCTGCATTTTTGTACTATTCCGTAATTCTAGTTGTCTTTTACCTGCATTAGAGCATGGTTTTCTTACCTTACTTTTGATTCTTGATGAACTTTTCCTGGTGAGCAACTGCAGCTTTTGTTTTACCTTCAATTTGGCACTATGGTCCTGCATTTGATTGTTGCTAAACTTTTTTCAAGTTCGCAACTGATGTTTTTCTGCTTTGTTTGTTTGCAGATTTTGAGCCTCCTGTATACTAATTCTGGATTAGCTGTACTCGCTCTTGCCTCCAGTGCAGTCCATAAGCTATGGAAATGGCAGCGTACTGAACGAAATCCATCTGGCAAGGTAAGTTGTTGACTCTGGTGTCTACTGTATATATTTTGCAAATCCTATGCGGCGTTTTATTTGCTTTCTTGCTTAATGATGGAATAATGTTCTGTCCTACATTGTTTTGTTAGTCGACTGCAACTGTGGTGCCTCAGTTGTGGCAACCTACGAATGGATCACCTATGACAAATGAAACAAATGACTGCAATCCTGAAGAATCAAGTGCTTGCTTTGCTCTGTCCAAAAATGACTCGTATGTTATGTCAGCATCTGGTGGAAGGGTCTCCTTGTTCAACATGATGTCATTTAAGGTATTGAGATAAGTCAGATTATTTCCAGTTTTATTCTTATTTTCATTTGCAATCATAAGAGTCATTCATTGGCCTGCTCTAGCACCCATGTCACTCGATGGTCGTAGAATCTCTTTTCTCTCTCTCTCCCCTAAAACTTCCCACCCATGGCCCTCTACTACCATGCTCTCCTCTCTGACTTGCTCACCTACTATCTATCTCACACTCCCAATCCAATGACCCCCACCCATTCTGTTTCTAAATTTTCCAAACCCTGACTCAGTTCTTTGTAGGTTATTAATCAATTTAGTTTGACAGGTTATGACAACATTCATGGCTCCTCCTCCTGCAGCCACTTTTCTAGCATTCCATCCTCAGGACAATAATATTATTGCAGTAGGAATGGAAGATTCTTCCATTCAAATATACAATGTCCGGGTAGATGAGGTAGTTGTCTTATTTGTGGATCAAATTTCATTGTTTTATTTAAGCTCTCCTTCACTTTTTACCGTTTTCATTTCTGATGGTACACATGAACCCACTTGTAAAATTAATTTGCATGTGAAAACTCGTACAAAACAAGCTTTGTTTGCTTCTTTGTACAAGTTTTTTTTTTTTTTTCACCCTTTTCTATTCCGTTAAAGGTATGGCATTGTTTGTTGCAGTTACTGACAGTAGGCTTACTCTAAGTTAATTTTTCTAGCTTTTACAAGAATTTTCAATTCCAGGATTACCTGTACAAGCTACACTTTCAATATTCATGCAAATTGTTGTACGAAGGGGTACCGATGCAAATATGCGACGCTGAATGTACACTCTTCCCTATTATGTCTGGCAGTTTTATATGTATATAAGCTTTTTTTTTTATGACTCGTCCTATTTGGCATGTCTTTGGATATTCTATTGTTCTGAGAAAGACCTTTCAAAGCTAATTTATACATTTTAGACGATGGATGTGCACGTGCAATTGGAATATAGGACATGAATTTAGCCTATTCGCATTAGTGATAGACTAATTATAATGATGACAATTTTGGATTATATGGAATCTCAAACTTTTTTGGTAAGAAGTTTGACAGAGAAATGTATTCCTTCTAGTTAGTGCTTCATCAAGCAATATTTAATGATTTGACATCCCAATTTGTGATTGAGTAAGCATGATCTGAAAAATAGATCATAATTTTTATCTAGGCTCTGCATTTTTATGACAGTAGATCTCTTAAAGTGCTGGCATTTCCGTTAGTCTTGACTGAGATCTACTTTCGCTGCTTGTAGGTGAAAATCAAGCTCAAGGGTCACCAGAAGAAAATAACCGGCCTTGCATTTTCGCAGTTACTAAATGTTCTCGTCTCCACTGGAGCTGATGCACAGGTGTGCAAGACATAATGGTTCTTTTTATGGAATAGGAAAAAAAAAATAGAAACGAGTTGAAATCTGAATTTTTATCTTAAATAATTTTGTAGTGGCAATTCAAGTCATTTTTGTAATAGCAATTTATTGACTTGATGGATATCATTCTAATTGTACTAGAAAACTAGTAGATCGTCTAGATTTCACGTACCATGTTTGAAGGATATATAACGGCATGAATTCTCCTTGAATCATCATCCATTTTTGGAGCTGCAGCGTCTCTGCATGTTTTAGCAGTTGAAATTTGCCTGATTCTGTCTTCCCAATATTTTTCATATATATTTTTTCCATTTTATTGTTAAAAAATTGTAGATATGCATATGGAGCATTGATGGATGGGAAAAGAAGAAAGCCAGATTCATTCAAACACCTGCTGGTCGTGCAGGACCATTAGTTGGGGATACAAGAGTTCAGTTCCACAATGATCAACAGCATCTCTTGGTTGTCCATGAAACCCAACTGTCCATCTACGACAGCAAGCTTGAGTGCCTCCGATCTGTTAGTTTCTTGACCACTCTTCATTTTATAAGTGTTAAAAATTAATTACAGTTCATTGCTAATGCTCATTGATTGCTCTTTCATATTGCTCATAAAACCTTACAAATATTCTTGCATTTTTTATTGATGTATGTGGCTTTTTTCTCTGATAATCAGATAAGAATCCAATTATTTGTGCTTCGTTTCAGTTTTCTAATACAAAAATTTTAATTTTTATATTAAAAAATTGCTTTAAAAAACAGTAAGATAGCTGTCCCTATCGAAACCTTGATTTACATGTTTAAGAAATCTGGCTTTAACTTCTTCCTCTGATGCAGTGGTCTCATAGGGATAATCTCCCTGCACCGATTTCTAGCGCTGTGTACTCTTGTGATGGTCAGTCAATATATGCCGGATTCTGTGATGGGGCGGTTGGAGTTTTTGATTCAGATAGTCTGAGGCTCCGTTGCCGGATAGCACCTTCTTCATATACTAACTCGTCATCTCCAAGGTATTTTGCTTCCATCCCATCTGTAAAATGCTTGCGTACTTCACCTACAAATAGCGACATAACTTTTGGACTTGAGAATGAGCAAGTATGTTGACAGGTAAAGGATAGAAAAACTTTTCTTTTCTTTTTTTTTCTTCCGATAAGTAAGCAAAATGACACTATTAATAGAGGATACGTAGTTGAATAAAGGAGCAATTATTACGTCAGGTCACATGACGCGTTCAGAGATCAATAATCACGCGTCACATCACCTGAAACTTAGTATTGAGCACTCGGTATTGCTCGGTATACGTCTGGATTTCCGGTTTTTTGTCCGGACGTAATAATTACTCCCGATAAAGGACCAGGGGGGCGGGGGGAGGAGGAGCCAAGAGAGAGGGGAAAGGAAAGCACGAATATTATATATGGAGTAAATACACAATATTCTTCCTACATCTTATGGAATCAAACAATTGGAAAAACAGAGAAGTAATAAAACAAATTTAGCCAAGTGATGAGGATTCTTCACGTGGACAGCAAGGTAGTGAAATTTTATCTGCCAACTTCGTTTCGATACCACAGAAACTATTAGGTTCGGAGTCCGGACGTAGATATATGTCCATACTCCAAGAAAATGTTAACACCTGGAATCCGCAGAACTTCAAGCCAAGCGCATCAAAAAGTACATTCAAAGCGTAGTAAAGAAACACAACAGAACAAAAACAGCAAAGCGCAACTAAAGCACAAGCAAAACACTCAACAAAAAATGCAACCAAAACACACTACACGTGTCACATTTTAAGTGGATGTCCGGACGTATCTCTACGTCCGGACTCCGCACATAATAATTTCTCCGACCATCTCTTTGCTTTGTACGCAGTGCCGGATCAGTTTATCCCACCGTAGTTGCTGCTCACCCATCAGAGACAAACCAGATAGCATTGGGCATGAGCGATGGAACAGTATATGTGGTGGAGCCTCCAGACGCTCAGGAAAACAGTCCGCTTCCAGCCATGTCATCCAACCCTTCTTTGAGCAACCAAGCTTCTGATGCCCCCTCCAGGTGAAGATATTCCATCAGTACAACTAATTTTATAGGTCCATAGTTGCTCGGGGGATCGCCATTATTTTTCCCCCTTTTATTCCTTAATCAGACTAGGATAAGAGAAGGAAGCTGATAGCTATTTATAGTTTGTATATTATCTCTACTGAACTTTGGGAAAAAGGCGCGAATGAAGAAAACGATGGTTTATGGGGCAAAATGGCGTTCCATTGGAGATGAATCACTGCATTTTTTGGTTTCACTGCATTTTGGAGTGAAAAATGAGATTTTTGGTTGGAGATGCCCTTACATATATGTTGAAATAATGGAGTGCTTCTGCAAGTAAAGTATATAAATTTTTCTATGCATAAACGCAAAATTTCTTATCAATAACTTACAGTAGTTGAACTATGCTCCATGATTATTATAAATAAAATTCCTTTTATTCATTTGCTACATGGTGAATTTACCTGAATAGTAATTATTAATATTCAGCAAATTGAATGAATTATTCACACAAACATGAGATTAGGGGTTCGTTTGTGACAACGTTCTTACTATTTGTTAAAAAGTTAATTTTTAGTATAAAAAAATTTATTTTAAGAAATTATTGTACTAAAAAATTCTTTAGAAAATTGTCTTGAATGAAGTCTAGACTTTTTTTCTTTTTTTCGGCAAGTAAAAATTAATTTTTGAAGATATGAATTTTAATTTCAGCAAATATTTAACTAAATTTAAGCATTCATACAAAAAAAAATACCAAATGAAAATTTTGATATCCTTAAGTCTGATTAACTTTCAACAAACCCAAGCAATGATCTCATAAACTTGGATCTTATTTTCAACTTACTTTTCTTTATTGTTCATTATGGGTAATTTGAAATAATTCAAAATTGCCTTAGGAGAGAAAGAGAAATAGGAAATAATATATTTTAAATTTAAATCTCATGCTGCGTTCAATTGAAGGAATAAATTGGAGCATTTAAAATAAGATGTAAATCATGTAGAAGAGAGGAGAAATTCATCCAACCCTTTTAGGACAAAAAAAAATCATATATAATAACTTAAATATAAAATGCATACATAAACATACATAATGATTAAATTATTGGATAATGACCCATGCAATATAAAGTTCAAATTAAAAAAAGTTTCTAAAAAAAATCTGAAATATGATATTTAGAAAAATGCAAATAATGAAACATACAATTCTCATGAAAACACATATAAAAACATGAATTCAAATCATAATAATATTTATTTATTTATAATAAAATTGAAATCAAACTCCAAATGAATTTTAAAAATAATGAATTTCAATTATTTTAAGAATGGTTAATTATTTGTGAGCTTATTGTCAAAGCATGAAAGAAATATTCTATGGATTTTCTTTTTAATACAACATACCTTAACTAATTATTGAGATATATATCTAGAGCTATGTTGCACTTGATGTGATATATTTGAAGTAATTCCATAGATATTTTTCCCATTAGGTAGGTAGGTATGTTGTATAAGCTTTGATTTTGTTGAATTGAATTTACTATTATTCTAGTTTACTTGAAACACTTAATATATCAGAATATTTAATCATATATTTGTTATCATAAAATATAAATAACGAACTCTGAGGCTTATGGGCTAACTGGTAACATAAATTTTCCCTAATTCCCCATATTATGAAGTGTTAGTAAAAATTTTAGATCATTTGGACATTAAAATTATTCAAAATAAAAAAACACTAATAATTTCATTAAAAATCGTGTTTAATTCCTATTAAATAGGAGTTAATTGAGCTAACCTATGGTTTGATTCAATCAGATTCATTGCGCATATTTACAAATTGATGAATGAACCTAATTTTGTCTTCCTCACTCGCATGGGCTTGAGAGAATAGAAGTAGGCTAGGTTAGGGTTAGTTGACTTGAGCTATACCATTGCAATTTTCTACTTACATGGAGCTCCCCATGGAGAGCCTTTGTACAAGGAGCAAGGGGAGGCTCAAGGGTTCTCTTCCAAGCACTCGGTCACTTAATAATGGCCTCAATCATCCCATGTACCTTGAAATATCAAATGGAGAACTTTGATTGACAAGGAGTACTTATGTTAATCCTCTTTAAACTATGATTTTAACCATGTTTAAATGAGGTTTAATGTAATTCATTTAAAGCATATTTGTTCATCAAATGTAAGCTCACGTTCTTAGGCTTCGGTGTTTTAGATAGCATATAATTTGATTAACCTTATGAAGTCCTAATAGGGAAATTTGATCCATTTAGGTAGGTCAAATGGATTGTTGCTTTTTAAATTTGTGTTCTTAACATCCTTAACTAGATTCAAGCTCAAATATTTGGCCCAATTTGGCAAAAGGGTTTGGTTTTTTGGTAAAGGAGTGACCCTACGTAGGTTCCAATTGAGTGTGAGGCCATTTTGATGAATTGAACCCCTAGGTAGGTTAAACTTGGCGGAAGTCAACTAGAATTTCTTCCCTAACATCATGAGCTAGCATTCTCAAGGATTTATATTATTTTGGTACGTAAGTTTTGTTGGATCCTTTTGGGAAGTTATGTTTTCTTCATGACCAATTTGACTCCTTTTGGCCTAATATGGTCTAAACATGGGTAAAATCATGTTGATCAAATTTGAGTTATATTCAAAAGCATCCCAATAACTTTCTTGTCATTTAAATTTGGTTGATTTGAAATTCAAGGATAAATTTGACTTATTTGAGCCCATATGGGTCAAATCGATTCAAATTAGGATTAATAGTTTCATCAATGCGTTTAATGAATTTTTGAGACTTCTAATAGCCTAGGAATCTTCTATTATGAGTATAAAATTGATTAGATAGGAATTTTGGAATTATGAGGTCATTTGAGTTAAAATGTACTAAATGGGTTTGCATTGGCTTCATTATAGTCAAATTGGCTTGAACCAAAATCCCTTCAAAGTGATTGATATTTAAAAAAATTCAATTATATCTGAAACATTATAAGGCATCATTAGGAAGGTTGAATTTTGTTTAATTAATCCAATTGAACTAAATTTAGTTCATATTTCACACATAGGACTCTTCTAATTAGGTAGATCATTTTATGTTTAATGTCCATATGCTTCAATGAATTATCCTAATCATAGTGACTGGATATGAGCTAACTGAATTTTTAAGTCTCTGAATTTATATGTTTATACTTATCAAGTCTTCCTTGGGATAAGCTTACTCAGATAAAGATAAACTCTTGCACTAATAGGTTATAAGTAGTTTTGACATTATTAATTCTAATTGTAGTTTATACATAGGAGGCAATTCTTTTAATACATATGAGTATGATTTCTACAAATATTTTAGTTTAATGGTCATGTTATTTAAATGCAAATGATTTGGTACAACTAGATGAGTTGTTAATGAATATCATGATATTAATGTAGTGAAGTACACCTCAATAGAAATCAAATGAGTTTTAATACTTAACAAATTTAGTATGTAACTTATTAACATAAATGAAGAGAATGTTGGTAGGTTATTTGTAAGATAGTTGATAAGAGTAGTTCTTAGACAATCAACATTGATAATGAGAAATTTGAAAATGATAGAGGGATTTATCATGAACTTGATGAAGATCATCACCCTTATTTTTGTATTTCAATGATCTTGATAATGGAAATCCTATTTGGGTAATGAAACACAAACAAAATTTCAAGTATCATCACCAAGCAGTAGAAGAATGTTACATAAAATGTCTGGTAGAGATTATGATAACAAAGAACATATAAAAGAGATAAAATCTATAAGTACTTCTATTGTAAAAGGATTTTTTTATTTATGCTCAAGAATATTAGTGCTTTTTATGTCTCATGAAATACTTAATTTTTTGTATAAATTTTTAACAATTATATAATAATGTTGAATTGTTAAATAACAATGTTATTTATTTTTTATACTTTGTACCAATGACCTATCTTATTGTATAAATAATTAATATTATCCATCAAGGGCATGCTCCTAAATATTAAGGTAGATTGGCTCATGAAACACAAGTTGATCATCACGTGGAGACATCTGATGGTTTAGTAGTACGACAATGCACCTATTGGACTAGACATCATTTATTACACTAGCCCAAAAATAACGTTATATTGGCACGAAGCATAGAAGTTGACTAAAAAGGTAGTTTACATTTATGTGAATGGTATTAATAATTTGAATTATTTTAGGATTAGTAATTTGAAGGCCACCCATTGAGCACCGAGGTTTTGAAAAGAAGATAAACATAGTTGTCGATGCCTTAGATGGACATTCCAAGCATTGTGGGGAGAGAGCAGTAGAAGTAATTTTTGGTAATAACACTATCTTAATTGTTTAAATATATATAAAAAAAAGTTTAATAGTTTTTTTTTTCATTTATAGTTTTAGTGCTGAGATAGTTACACCTGGAAGTATCAGGGCAATCATATTATGCGTAGTTAGGAGGAGACAATACAATGCCACATTGCTCATATCCTAAGCTAGGCATGCAAAGTTGCAAGAATGAAGACTAACTTTAAAGATAACTCTATTTTAGTAAATATACATCCAAAAAGGATAGCTAAATCTACATGGTTAAAGAAGATTAAGAAGTGGATCATATAGACCTGGAAGGGTCATTCATAAGAATTAGTTCAAACTTTCTTCTCAATAAGGAGGGTGGTTTGACAAAATACAATGATGGTTCTATGCATTTTATCAACCAGTGTGATCATGTATAAGTTATTCTAACTATAAGTTATAAGATTAATAAATTTTATTCATAATTGCAATATGCAAACTATTTTCTTTCCAAAACATTGACTATGTTATAGAGGAAGAAATCTACACAAGAAGAGATGTTTAGTTATATGCATAATAAAAAGGGCACGGATGACTTTATATATGCACCTTCACATCATGTGATGGTACTTACGCCTATATATTATAAATCTATAATATTTAAAATGTGTAAAATAAAGTATATCTATATATAATACTATAGTTAACATGGTATAAGATGTTTACACAACTATTCTCACTAAGAGATATGGAGAGTCATCGAGTTTTTT